AGTGCAAGAGCTTAGGCTTCTAGCACCGGCGGATCTGGCAGAAAGGGTAGTGCTTACGAGGGTCCCGACCAAATCAGCTCCCTTGCCGACGAGCTTCTCCGCCACATCCTTGTCTTCTTGCCCTTGGTCGAGGCCATCCGCACCCGTGTGCTCTCCTGTCGGGAAAGTGTTTTCATCTCTCGAGAGGATATCCCTTTGTTTCTTACGCTACCTCGCTATATCGGTCCTCGGGGATGAATTCGGCTTCGAGAATAATGACATCATCTCGTGCGTCGATCGACACTGTCGTCCGGCTAGTCACTAGCCGATTTCACCTCTTCGTGTCGCATGGGATTGACATGTTCGACAACTATGATGAGGACACTGATCTCCTTGAGCTCCCATGCTTCAAGAGGGCAACGGAGATCACGTACCATCTCCGTCAACATGGTGATCCAGCTGGTGCTGGCCGACGACGACAAGCCAACGTTTGCACTGCTGACGAAGCTTCACTTATCGGAGACTGTCATCACCGATGACGAGGGCGGGTACGTATCTCAGCGAGGTCATGTCGTAGGGCTGTCCTCGCCTGCAGATCCTCGAGCTTGTCAGCATCTACTCCTGCGTGAGAGAGCTCACCATCCACACCAGCTCACTCCTGACCTTATTCCTCGTGTCTGTCAATGATCTGATCTGCAATGGCTGGAAGTGGATGCAGCCAATCTCACAAAGATGCAAGTGAAGGATTGCTTCGTCATTGAATTGAAGGACTCGGCCATGTCACTCTCGATGCCGGCGATGGAGGAGTTCTGCTAGGAAGGCTGCTGCCCTGAGGAGGTCAAGCTGATCGGGGAAACCGGATGCCTCCAGAAGTGCATATTCGTCATCAATCGACACTTCTTCGAAGCATTTTAGTAGGATCTTGGAGCTTTTCTCGAGTACCTGCACTGATGTTCCACAGATCAAATTTCCTATTAAACCAGTATGTGTCTCTCATCTTTTTATATTATATGCCGATGATTTTAATTATATCAACTTAGTTAGATTATTACTAGCTTGTAGCTGCCGGCTAATTAAAAGCGAGATGCGAATTAATATATGGATATAATCGATTGAGTAGTTAATTGACTGTGTATTAATTTGTATTAGTTGTTGTGTGTGTGATATTAATAAATTGATGATACTAGTTGTGTGTGTATGACATACAGTTATTGTGTTGTGTTGATCTCAGCTAGGAGTTGATTACATATTTGCTTTCCACATTTGTGTAAGTCACACATAAGTCCATCCACTAGTGTGTCAATTATGTTCAATTAATCAATCAGATGGGTGACTTAAATATATTTTTCATTTAATTGTGTCAATAGCACAACTTTGCTAGCTAGTCTTAAAATATGTGACTAACACAATTTACATAGTATAAATATCTTTACGTACTACATTACAACATACCCCACAAGCAGATCGATCAGAGTTTTTAAATAAAATTTGGTAGTGCAACTTGTGTTAACACTGATTATTCATTTGGTGACACTTTGGTAGGAATCAGGAGAGCATATATAGTAGATTTGTCAAAAATGTGAAACTGATGTATTTTTCAAAGCTAGAGCTCGTTGACCGTTGTTAGATATAATACCTTATGTGTGCAATTGATCATATGTCCTGAAAGGAAGACAAAAAGGGATATATTCTCATATTTAATTTGCTAACCCATGGGTCTGTCCAAATTCCAATGCTCTTTGTAAAATTACAATGGCATGGTTCCAATTTACCCTTTTGTAAAAGATATCTAACATTGTCTTGAAGAATTCTGGGAAGGATATTATATATATATATAGTTATCATTTCTTGATGATTTAGCTTACAACAGTTACAAGTCAGTATATAAGCTCTGCTGCTGTTTTGCTCATATACACTTGGATGGCACACCAAGTTCCTAGTAACCGGTTTAAATGCATAAATAGCAGTCCATGAACAGACCTTTTTTAAAAAAAAATTCCATCATTTTCTTCAGATTGGATGCTTTATATGAAATATTTGTTCAATTCCCTCCCCCCATTAATTAGGTCCGTACTAATTAAGAATTGAATAGCTAATAAAAACAGATGATACTGAAATAAATTGTGAGCAAAGGTTAATTAGTATATATACCTTTGTTTTAACTAAATTCCTCGGATACTTTCGTATGATAATCAGTTGATTGGATCTGGTTAATTAGGGACAACAACAATTACTACAGTAGGGCATGACACCCACACATGGTGCTGAAGGAAGTATTAAGTATGCGCTATGTACTCCTATCTCTTAAGATATGCGCATGTGCCCTAAGAAAGGTAACTACCACAGAATACTTCATCACTTAGGTTCCGTTCGTTTTCACTACAAAAAATGGATAAAATTTTGCATATTCGTGGCACGCTTTTTCAAACTGCTAAACGGTGTGTTTCATGCGAAAACTTTCTATATGAAGGTTGCTCTAAAATATCAGATTAATCTATTTTTTCAAGTTTGTAATAATTAAAACTCAATTAATCATACGTTAATACTATCTCGACTAACGTAACACACTTAATTTTTCAACTTTATCTTTATCTTTAGGAGAAAAGATGCTCGAAAACTGCATTTTTCTTAAGACACTGGAATGTAATACATATGCAATTCAAAATATTTTTTATCACATACTATTGAAATTAAAATGATCCCTTCTTTTTATATATGCCCCCGAGGTCAAGTTAAATGCATTGCTAATTCCTTTCTCTATTACATGAAATTAATTCCAATCGTTTTCTTTGAGCTACAAGTTGGATAGAATAGATCAGAAATTTAACTTGGTTTTGCTGGAAGATCAGAGATACAGATAAATCTCAAGGAGCACTATAATAATGAGCTGGATTTTCTCTAATGTTTCTTCAGTATGCAACCATAATGTGCCTTGAGAAAATCATAATATATTGTTGCTAAATCTATTAAGCCAAGGATGAAGAGACCTATGACAAGATCATGAGCTTGTCACCTTTAGGATGCTTCTCAGTACAAATTTAGCTCTGTAAGGAAGAATAATGATGTAATGAAAAAATTGCATCAAGCATACAAATAGACATGGATTTGACTAGTCATTTGCTGAAATGTAAACATTCTTCTTGTAACTAATCGGAGAGGGCAAATATACTTGTTCTTTACAGTTAGTTGTTTTCCCAAGATCATTCTGCTGGCAAAGCTTATATATGGGAACATTTAATAAGAGAGCTGAACCAAACAATCCAAACATAATTCGAGTGACTTAATTATAATTTCTGGGAATCTCGAATAGCTTCATATATATTTTGATTGTAATTTATATGACAGCAATAAATCTTGAATGTGGACTATGTATCCTCGATCTTTTAGATTAGCTAGGCAACTCGTTATGATTTTCATAATATATTTGCTAGATTGGTGAAACAGAATTTGTGGCACCGATGATTATGTCACAATGAAATTGGGCAGAGCTAAATAGCAATGAAATTTGGCAGAGTTAAATTAATTGCGTGTACAGAAGATCAAATATGCTCCAAGATGGATTGATCAAACTTGAGTGAGTCTCGGCACCACGGCATTGAGCCCAAACAACCCCCCGCACGGCGTACAGATTCATCGAGATGAGATGCTTCAGCCTGATCGTCAGGGAGGCCAAGCCACGGGAACACCAGATCTCTACCCCTTCCAAGAACGGCATCATGGTATCGTCCAGGGTTAGTTCGCCGCCATTGAACCGGACGAACACCAGGTGCAGCTCCCTGAGCGCGGCGAAGACGCCCGACGGCGGCAGCGAGCGATAGGCAAAGAAACCCCAGGCGCAGCCGAATCTTGGTGGCTCTCGTGAAGCAGGGGAGCTCGAGCGCGCCTCTTTCTTCGATGGTATCGCTGAATACCTCGTCGAAAAGCATGTGGAACGGAATCGAGCTCCTGTTGCAGAAGAGAAGCTCTCCGGAGATGAGGGGCGCGGCGACGCGGAGCCAGGAGGCGGTGGCGTCCGGCGTGGCGCTGTGGATGGAGGGAGGTGACGTAGAGCTGGTTGATGCTGGTGGCCGCGTGCACGGCGAGGGCGGCGAGGGCGGCGCGCACGGGGCTGGAGTCGTGGGGCTGGGTAATGATGCAAGAAGAGGCCGGACACCCATTTCCAGACGTGGCGCCAGCGGCGGGACAGCAAGCTGGTCCTGGCGGCGGCGCTGGTGTCCCTGAGGCAGCCCAAAGTGCCGGCGAGGATGTCCTCGGGGAGATCCCTGAGGAGGCCGCCCCGCCCGCCCCCGTTGCTGGTGGAGGCGACGAGCGCGGCTCTGTCGCCGCCCCCGTCGCGGTCGCGGTCGAGGTCGAGGTCCATGGGGGCGGGGGCGAGGACGTCGAGCGCGCCGCGATCGCCGTCGATATCCATGGGAGCAGGGGCGGGGGCGGGGTCGGCGACGGCCGTGGCTCTACCTCCCTCTCCCTCTCCGTCGCCGCCGCCGTCGATCGGGACGAGAACCGCCATGGCCGTGGGTGAGGGGGGGTCTTTGGATTTCTTGGTTCTCTTCTTGTGAGGAGGCGGGGTTTGGGGAGAGGGGAGAACCGGAGAAGACGGTGGAGGAGGACTAGTGTTGATTGTTGAAGACGAGGAGAACGGGAAGCTTGTGTGTTGGCTTTTGTCCAAGCCGCTGGTTTGGAATCAACGGCAGGATGTTAAACTGAGGAATCCCACGCGCGCGCCGTGCGAGGCCATCGACCACATACTGTCGCGACCGTGACGGAACATGAGGTTGTGCCGCGCGGCCCGCCACGCTGTGGGCTGTGGTGCTCTAGGCCAACTCGGCAGTTGGCACGGCAAAAAAAACCCACAGGATTATGCATGATCAACATACAGCAGGACTGCTCATGTTCTGATGCAATTTCACGCTCTATACAACAACGATTTTCTTCTCAGCGACTAACACAAGCAATTTCATGCTGCTACCGAACGCCGTAGAAAATCACAAACGTTCAGCGGCTCAACTCATCCGTGTGCTCCATTTTCGGTGCTCCAAACACATCACTTCAGCTCTGACAAACAAACAGAAAAGGGCATTCCAGAATGCAGAATGCTAAAATTGCTTCACGAAGACAAAGAACAATGGCAGCTAAAACTTCTCCTGTTTCTTTACAGCATAGCGGAGCAGGATCAAAACTTTGTCAGGTACATCAGACTAGATCAGTAGCCAACAGAGCTCTCTTCTTACTTCAGTTCCCTACGGTTTGCAGAGCTATTCTTGCTTCCCTTACTCTGACAGACTCACTTCCACAGAAGTCGCTTCTCTTGCAAAACCTCGTATATGTGCAGATAGTGTCTCCCAAGCAGCGCACGAACGGTGGCAGATTATTCTGATCATCCTCAGTGCTGGTGCTACCCTGACTAAGACCCTCAGGAGGTCAAGCTCATGTTCCTCCCCTCTGAAGTTGAGGATCTCTACTTTCCTCAGATACCTCATCGAAATGTCCGTTTCTCTCCAATCTGGTGGCCCATCACAGATGCACTCCAGCTTACATGCATCATCAGACTGTCATCACAAGATCAAAACAAAGTACAAAGCATTAATGAGATTCATCGTCTAACACATTCAGTAACTGTCAAAGCTTCACTTTGTGCCACACTACTAAGTAAAAGGAATGATGAAAACTGAAAAGAACAGTTCTCTATCTTATGATTATATTTTTCCTATATATTCAAGCTTAATGCATTTCATAGACTTGGAGGATGGAAAACATGTTCACATCGTGAAGCATGATTGTCAGTGGTAGATATTACACTTGTACGAAAACTTTCATGGATCTATTACATTGCTGACAGAGTGGATCATTTAAAGGACAACAGGAAAGAAATGGTCAAAGAGGGATTTGACGATAAGACAAGAAATTTTCAAGAGTTAACTGAATTTACTGCAGGTAAAGAAATTAGAATCAAAATGCCGTTGTTCAAAATTCATAGGAAATATAATTACCTTGAATTTTTCTTGGTTCACCAGCCTCAGCTCTGCTATAGTAGTACGCTTTGTGAGAATATGCAACACACTAGCTCCATAAACATGGCCTTCTGTTTTCAAAGCTAGGTTCAACATCCTAATGTAAGGGAGTTGGATATTGTCTATCATCGAATCCGTAACGCTTTTTTCATCTCGAATCTGTGAAATTGTAGGAAGTTAAGAGAGGCAATCTCGGACAAAATGAAAAACTAACAAGGAAAGAACAACGATTGTTTGACAAAAGGCCATACAGTTGAAGAATCAGTAATTTGCTTGCAGGCTAGTAATGTTTTAGTAATTTGCTTGCGGAATAGCTAGCTTGAGTCAACATTTTCGCCCAGAAGAAATAGAAATTAATATAGTCTGAACTCAATTTATGTGCAGGATCATGTAACCATGTCCAACAACCAGATGTTGGCGAAACGAATGGTAATCAATGCTGATCTCTTTGATAACGACAACTCAGAAACTGCATTACTATATCCAGAATGCAAGCATGATTTGCAATTATGCTAGCTCAGTAAACTAAATTGAATGCAACAATTGATCTTTTGTAGAGAAACAAAGTATCAGTTGAGAATGTGCTGATAACAATATTTTCCAAAGGTCAAAGAAACAAACAAAAAAAAAAATTCAGATCAAGATTATTCTACTGGTCTGCAACTTTCTAGCTAGTTTTCCCAATAAAAACGGCAGCCGAATCAAGCATTCAGTGTTGAGCTTACAACGGATTAAAAGACGATCTAAACATAACTATTGCAACACTAAATTGATAATGAGATGATGTTCCACCTTGCAGTTCGAGCAACACACAGTTGATTACTTGATTGAAACAGAGGAAGAAGAAGAAGAAGAAGCACTCACTAGTTCAATCACAAAACGCAGGTCAAGATGGCTAATTCTTGGATAGCGATTGAGAAGAAGCTGATAGTATCCTTCGATGAAAGCCTCGTTCGATTCAGAACAAAAAACACAGTGGGTGTGTATCATCGTCAGCAGCGGCAAGTCGTTGAAGTTGAACGATTGTGGAGAGTAAAAATCCTCCCACTCGATCTCCTCCAGCTCCTCCGCGACAATGCTGACGCTGTCCACATCATGATAGCAGAAGCATCCGACCGAACACAAGGCCTTGAGTCCAGGCACCACGGCGTCGAGCCGACGAATCCCCACCACATCGTACAGTCCCATCCAGCCCAGAGATTCCAGCCTGAGCGTCAGGGAGGCCAAGCCATTGGACCTGCGAATGCCTAAATATTCCAAGAGGGGGAGCATGGCATCGTCGAGGGTGTAGTCGCCATTGAACCGGACGTGCTCCAGGTGCAGCTCCCTGAGCTTGCCGAAGGAGCCCGACTGTGGCAGCGAGAGGCCGAGGAACCCCAGGCTCAGCGTGATCTTGGTGACCTCCGTGAGGCAGGGCAGCTGGAACCAGCTACTCGACCAGATCATCTCCTGCTCCACGACAGCCTCATACAGTATCGAGAACACCTCAAGGTCGAGAGCTTCGAACGGAGCCGAGGACCTGTTGCGGAAGTAGAGCTCGCCGGTGAGGCGGGGCGCGGCGACGCGGAGCCAGGCGGCCGTGGCCTCCGGCGTGGCTCTGTTGAGGGAGATGACCTCGAGCAGGCGGATGGCCGTGGTCTCGGAACCCTCCGTCGCGTGGGCGTGGGCGGCGAGAGCTTCCTGCACGAATCTGGAGTCGGGGGGCTTGTCGTAGCGCAAGATGAGGATGTCGACCTGGGTCCAGAGGTTGATCCAGCGCCTGGAGAGGACGCTGGTCACGGCGGCGTTGCGGGTGTCCCCGAGTTGGCCCAGGATGAAGGCGAGGGTGTCGTTGGGGAGATTGCTGATGCGGTCCACTCCGTCTCGGCCGCCTCCGTCGCCGTGGACGTGGAGGTGGAGACCCAGCGCCAGGGAGAGCGGGGCGCTATCGCCTTCGCCGCCGGGGACGCGCGCAGCCGCAGCGCTATCGCCTTCTCCGCCGCTGCCGTTCAACTTGCTGAGGAGATCCTGCGTCGCGGGGCTGTCGCCTTCTCCGCCGCTGCCGTTCAACTTGCTGAGGAGATCCTGCGTCGCGGGGCTATCGCCTTGTCCGCCGCGGTCGCGCCCGTCGCCGTCGTCGTCGATGTCCATGGGAGCGGGGGCAGGGTCCGGGGGGTTGTCGGCGACGAACGTGCCGCTACCGCCCTCCCCGTCGCCGTCGCCATTGATGGGGACGATCACCACCATGGCCTTCGAGGCGGTTTTTTTCTTTGCTTGGGGAGGTGGGTTTGGGTTGGGGGGTTTGGAGAGAGGAGGAAGACGAAGACGAAGAAGAAGACGGCGAGAGCAGAGCTGCAGAGGAGGATAAATTTGAAGACGAGCTAAGGAGAAGGGAGGGGGGAGAGAGCCGTGGCCTTCGCTTTTTATTCCACCGGCTCGTGTGGAAGCAACGGCGGGATCGCGATGTGTCTGAGGCAATCGGGCGGCCAATCGCCGATACTGCCACGTGTTCAGGTCCAGCATGGACAAGTCAGGGTGGGTCCACATGCCAGCGAGAGATTACAGGAAGCGTACTACGAGAAGGGAAGAGAGATATAGCTCGGGAGAGCAAATGATCATGTTGACAAAAAATAATGTTACTGATTGTAGCACAGATATTAAGGGTGAGTTTGAGGAGAGGGGATTGAGAAGATTGGGAAGATGCGTAAAATGAGGTGAGCTATTAGCGCATGATTAATTTAGTATTAACTATTTTAAATTTAAAAAATAGATTAATATGATTTTTAAAGCAACTTTCCTATAGAAAATTTTTGTAAAAAATACGCCGTTTAGTAGTTTGGGAAGCGTGCGCGCGGAATACGATATCCTTTTCTCACCCAATCCCCCAGAACTCATTACAACGAACGCAACCTAAATAAATAAAATGATATCTACCGGGATCCCGTTCTTACCATCTAGGCGGGAACCCGTCGTCCGCTTCTCATGGCGCCTACTCTGTCTACCTCCGCTTCACACGATGCCTTGTATCATTCGACATCATCGCATCCTGTTGTGGCTCTTCTTTTTTCTCCACGGCCTTATGTTCCTTCCCTTTAATTTCTTTGTCGTCTCATGCTGTTCCTATCGCCTATTGCTCTTCCTCTCACCTAGGAGATTAGGGAGCGTCCTGCTGCACCTCCTCTTGCTTGGGGTCACGACGAGGGAGGATGGAGAGCGCCACTGTTGTGTTGAGTGAGGATCGGAGCAGCACCATTGTTGCACCGAGGAAAGATGGAGAGTAGCACCGTAGTCGTCCTTGTTGCTCGGTCGTGGCGGATTTGAAACCCCAAGATCCCTAGCGATGGATTTGGCGCCACCTGAACTTTGCATCATTGTTTCCACATGGGAGAACTTGCACCGGTAAACCATATCTATTCCTTATTCTCCCATCCCTCCTCACTCCGTCCCGACATCAGATCCAATAATCAGATAATACCGACGGGTACCAAGCCTATTACCTGACAGGTATGAGGTTGTACCTATAGTGTACCATATATGATATATTCGACATCATTCCGTCCAGGCGAGATAATGTGGCACATAAGTCTTAAATAAGTTTAAACTAATGGTTTGAGTATACTCCCTGTCCTATGAAAATCAATCTAGATACAATAAATCTAGATAGATCTGGATAGGTATCTATCTATATTTGTTGTACTAGATTGTATCACATTATTTTTAGGTTGGTTTTTTAAGATGTAGAGAGTAGGGTTTTTTTTAGACTGGTGAGAGAGTAGGTATTGGATACCTATTGATAACCATCACTAAACAATTGTAATGACGCGACTTTTTCAAAACGGAGCAATTTTTCGAATGGGATCATGTTGCAATTTAGAGCAGCCTCACACGTTCCCCGCTACGTAGAAGCCTCTCTCAGCAAACGTTCGAACAGAACATCGCTGCTTTCCGAAATGCCGAATGCCGAGTTGCCGTTGCGTGCTCTGCTGCTCCTCCTCACAACTTCACAAGAGAAGGCGACATGGTGGCGCCGAGCCGATGAGATGAGCCGTGACAAACTGGGCCGGCCTGGTTCGCATCGGGCCGAGGCCCCCGATGGAATAACGCGGTCGGATCGATGTCTCGCTCCGGAAACCAACCTCACGCCGTGCACCGCGGCACGCGCGTGGAGTGGATCGACATCTCTCGATCGATCACGCGCACGGCCGCCCGGGCGCCGGCGCGGCAATAGCCCCCAAAACCAAAGCCATTGCCACGAAACGTGCCGAATCCGAGGCAGAAGAAGCTGGTCAAGGCGACGGATTTTCCCGCGGCGTATCGGAGGCGGAAGCCGTCGTCCCTGGTCACCCGCGGCGCCGCAAGACGGGCGCGCTGCCAAGATAGTGGCGGCACTGATGGGATGGCACGCAAACACAATCCTCGTCATGGATCCTGCGACGACGATGACGATGATGATGACGACGCAAGCAAAGGACCATCACCACGGATCTTCAGCTGGGAACACCGGCAAAGACCATCACCATGGATCATATGACAACACCAGCAGCAAAGATGAGTAGTATGGACATTGGACGCTATGACAATTACTAGGTTACTTATAATGACCAAGACTACAATACTTAAAGCATTATATATTTCCATTATGACAGTTGATGGATTATTTGGAAAATAAATCTCATGGTTAAAATAAGCCTTTTTAGCATTATATATATACTACTTCCAACACTTGGACAAGATGGATTACTTACTATGCAACTGCAGAACGCCGTAGCAAATCAGAAATGCTATGTACACACAGAGCATCCCTGCTGGATTGCCAGTGAAAACTAAAGTGAGCTGTTACGCAAAACACACCACTTCAGCTCTGACAAACATGCTGAAAAAGCCATTCCAAAATCCTAGTAGTAGATGATAACCCTTTTGCTTATGAAGACAAATGTCCACGCAAGGCAGCTAGGTTCGTCGCAGCCAGCCAGTTTATCTGTTACAGTACAGCATAGCAGGATCAAAACTTGTCAGGTACATCAAGGATCAGTAATAGCCAACAGAGCTCTTCTTTTACTTCAGGTCTGAGCAAGAAGGCGCCGCACACATCAGCTCACTACGGTCTTCACTCTTCAGTTACTCGTTACATTGCCTCACTTCCAAGGAAATCTGACTTCTTCCAACCTCTTCTGCATACGCACGTAGATCAGCACGTAGCATCTCTATCTCCCAATCAGCAACCGAACAGTAGCGGGCTATTCTTATCCTCCTAAGGCCTGTTGCTCCCCTGACTAAGAGCTTCAGAAGGTCAAGCTCATCGTCCTCCCCTCTGTAGTAGAGGATCGTTACTTCTTCGAGACACTCCAACAAAATGTTCTCGTTTCTCCAGTTTGGTAGCCAATCACAGATGCAAATCTCTGCACAAGCATCTTCGACCTGAAATTACAAGGATAAGAACAGAGTACAATGTATTAATCGTCTAATACGTCGACTAACTGTGAATACGACACTTCAGTAAGTAAAAGGAATGGTGAAAACTGAAAACAGCTGTTCTTAATCTAATGATGATTATATTTTTTCTATTCAAGTTTAATCCATGCCATATAGGATGGAAAATATGTTCACACCGTTAAGCATGATTCAGTGCTAGAAATTACTCCACTTCTACCAAAGCTTTCTTGGGTCTTTTACATCGCTGACAAACTGGATCATTTAAAAGGACAACAGGAAAGAAATGGTCAAAGAGGGACATGCTGATAAGACAAGTATGTGAATTTTACAACAAATGGGCCTATTTATCATTTAACTTATACCAAGAGTTAAATTTAATTTTGTTGTGTCATAAATAGGGCATAATTGATAACTTCATAAATCATGTGCACTTCCACTTACTCAAGAATTCACTACAGGCATAGAAATTAGAATGAAAAATGCAGTTGTTCAAAATTCATAGGGAACATAATTACCTCGAAATATTTTGGGATCATCAGGGTCAGCTTGGCTATACGAGTACACATTGTCAGAATATGCAATACACTAGCTCCATAAGAATGGCCCTCTGTAACTAAATGTAGGGTCAAGATCTTAGTGTAAGGGAGTCCGGTTATGCCTACCATCAAAGGCGTAACACCCTGCGAATTTGGAGGAAGTTAACAGAAGCAATCTCAGACAAAATGCAAAACTAATAGGAAAGAACAAAAAATGTTTGTCAAATGGCCATACAGTTGAAGAATTAGTAGTTTGCCTTCCGACTAGTAATGATTTAGTAATTTGCTTGTACAAGAGCTAGCTTGGGTCAACAATTTTAGTTTGTATATCCTCCATATGTCTGTTCCATTTCAGCCAGCAGGAAGAGAAATCAATATTGTCTGAATTCAATGACAGTCCCAAGTAAATTTAGATATATCTGCAGGCTCATGTTCAGCAACCAGATAATGGTAACGATAACTAATTGGTAATAATTGCTTATCTCTTTGGTAAAGGCAACGCAGAAACCGCATCAGCATATGCGGAGTGGAAGACAGAAAACACTAAACTGAATCTTTAGCACATCAACAAATTATCACATCAAGTTCAAGATCGCTCTGCTAGTCTGCAACTAACAAAACAGTTGGCGAACACTAAGCAATAGAAAAAGATTTTCCAATAAAAAACTGCAGCCAAATCACGCATTCAGTACTGAGCTTACAACCCAAATGACATGTGCACATATTAAAGACGATTTGAACATAACCATGGCAACAGCTAAATTGATATCCCATCTTGCAATTTGAACAATATACAGAGGAAGGAGAAGCACTCACTGTTTTGATCACAACGCGCAGCTCGAGATGGTGAATGCTTGGATAGCGATTGAGAAGCATCTGAGAGCCCTGATTGAAAGCCTCGCGCGATCCATGAGCAAAATCAGAGACAGAGACGCATAACGTCCGCAGGCGCGGCATCCTGCTGAAGTAGACCAATCCAGGCCAGTAGAAACCTGGCCACCTGAGCTGCTCCATCTCATCTGCCACAATGCTCACGCCATCAAGATGCTCAAGGAAGCATTCGGACACAGACAACTCCTTGAGCCCCGGCAACACGGCGTTGAGCCGACGCAACCACCGCATATCGTGCAGAGCCATCAGTGTCAGAGGCGCCAGCCTGAGCGTCAGGGAGGCCAAGCCACGGGACTTGCCAATGTCTAGCCATTCCAAGGAGGGGAGCATGGCATCGTCCAGGGTGAGCTCGCCATTGAACCGGACGTACACCAGGTGCAGCTCCCTGAGCTTGGCGAAGACACCCGATGGTGGCAGCGATAGGCCGAGAAACCCCAGGCTCAGCGTTATCTTGGTGACCCTCATGAAGCAGGGCAGCTCGAAGCCGGCGCCCATTTCGTCCACCACCACCCCAAGCTCCTCGACCAGCTGCTCCACGACGACCATCTCGTCGTTGAGAAGTTCGAACGGAACCGAGGACGCGTTGCGGAATAAGAGCTCGCCGGTGAGGCGGGGCTCGGCGACGCGGAGCCAGGAGGCCGTGGCGCCCGCCGTGGCGCTGTTGAGGGAGGTGACCTCGAGCAGGCGGATGTGAGTGGCCGTGGAACCCTTCCTCGCGTGGGCGGCGAGGACTTCCTGCACGATTCTGGAGTCGGGGGGCTCGTCATACTGCAAGACGATGATGTCGACATGGGTCCAGAGATCGAGCCAGCGCCTGGAGAGGACGGCGGTGGTGGCGACGTTGCGGATGTCCCTGAGATGGCCCAGAATTTTGGCGAGGGTGTCGTTGGAGAGGTCGCTGAGGCGGTCCACGCCGCCTCCGTCGCCTTCTCCTCTGCGGTCGCGCCCGTCGTCGTCGCCGTCGATGTCCATGGGAGCGGGGGAGGGGGCTGCGACGTCCGTGGCGCTACCGCCCTCCCCGTCGCTGCCTTCGTCGATGGGGACGAGCACCGCCGGCGCCATGGCCGTCGGCGACTCGGCGTCCTTGGGTTTGATTTGCTTGGGCGAGGGGGGAGGCGAGGCGGGGTTTGGGGGATTTGGGTTTTGGAGAGAGGGAGAGAAGACGGCGAGGAGAACTAATGTTGAAGACGAAGTGAAGGGGAAGCGTGTGTGTTGGCTTTATCCCCGTCGCTCGTTTGGAAAGCAACGGTGGGATGCGAAGCGATCCTTCCCACGATCATCGTGTGAGGCCATCTCCGACACCTTTTGCCAGCGTGTTCAGGTACAGCACCGGACAAGTCAAGGTAGGTCCATATGTCAGTGAAACTGGGAGAAGAAAAAGGGTCCAGATCCCAGTTGGCTACCAGGTGAGGAGTTGGCATGATCTATGCCATTTCGTATACCTCAAGGGCTAGAATTAAGCCATGTTAATTTGTACTTTAAAAAACAGTAACTAACCATGCAACAAATAAACTTGCATCAACAACATGTCACAGGATAATTTTTACTGCAGAATTGTAGAATTATCACAGAATTTTCATGCTTCATCTATCGTATAAATTTAGGTCCCGTTCTTTTCTTCAACAAGAGTTGGATGAAGATTAAGATTTTGGTGACACGTTTTTCAAACTACTAAAGGGTGTGTCTCATGCAAAAAAATTTCTAGACGAAAGTTGCTCTAAAATATCATATTAATTTATTTTTTAAATTTTTAATAATTAAACTCAATCCATCAAACGTTAATACCACCTCGTTCTGCGTAAAAAAATTAATCTTCATCTTCAAGAGAAAAGATAACCACCTAGTAAGAAAAAGTTATTCCCTCCGTATTTTAATGTATGACACCGTTGATTTTTTTATCAACGTTTGACCATTCGTTTTATTCAAAATTTTTATGCAAATATAAAAATATTTATGTTAGGCTTAAAGAACATTTGATGATGAATCAAGTCACAATAAAATAAATGATAATTACATAAATTTTTTGAATAAGACGAATGATCAAACGTTGGATAAAAAGTCAACGGCGTACAATAAGAGAAGGTAGTAGTACATATAGCATTTTCCATAGAGTCGAGGCCTCTTGATCGATCACGCACGCCCACACCTACGGACGCGAAAACCGGTCGGCTGGTCGCCCGCGGCGGCGCGGCGTCGGCGTGAACGCGGCTCGGTGGGAGACGCCGCCGCCGCTGGCGTTGGATTTTCGGCTGCGTCACGCTGGAGGGCGGGGACGTCGTACGTCCCGCTCCCGCAGCCGCAAGAACGGGAGTTGCCAAGATAGTGGTGGCACCGATGGCACGCAACACACAATAATCCTCGTCGTGGATCCTGCGACGATGACGACGACGACACCAGCAAGGATCATCACCGCCGCGGACGTTCAGCTGGGAACACCGGCAAAGACCATCACCGTGGCGTGGATGTTATTGCAACACCAGCAGCAGCAACGATGAGTACAACAATGTACTTCAAGCATTATATACTTCCGATATGACAGTTGATGGATTATCCGTGAATAAATCTCGTGGTTGAAACACGCCTTTCAGCGCTATATACTTCCAACACTTGAGAAGATCAATTACATATGCAACTGCAGAACGCCCGTCGCAAATCAGAAATGCCATGTACACCCAGTGCGTCCGTGGTGGATTACCGGTAAAACCGTAAAAGCTACAGTGAGCGGGTGCGCCAAACACATTACTTCAGCTCTGACAATTGACAAACATACGAAAAAGGCATTCCAAATTGCTAACAAATGATAAATTTGCTTATGAAGACAAATGAACAACGCGTGGCAACTAAGTTCGTTGCAGCCAGCCAGTTTCTCTGTTTCTCTACAGCATAGCAGGATCAAAATTTGTCAGGTATTTCAAAGATCAGTAGCCTATACTTCAGTTCGCTACGGTCGCATAGCTATTCTTGCTTCAGTTACTTTGACTCACTTCCACAGAAGTCCTAAAGCTTGCAAAACTTCGTACATAGGCACGTAGCAACTCTACCCCAAAAGCAGCTAACGAACGGTGACATGTCATTCTTACAAGGTCAAGGGCTGGTGCTACCTGGACTAAGACCCTCACAAGGTCAAGCTCATGTTGCTTCCCTCTGAAGTTGAGGATCACTATTTCTGTGAGAGATCTCATCGAAATGTCCTTATCTCTCCAGTTTCGTGGCCGGTCACAGAGGCAGTTCACTGGACAAGCATTTTCAACCTGAAATTACAAGATCAGAACAAAGTACAAGGTGTTAATGAGATTCATCGTCTGACACGTTGAGTAACTGCGGAAGGTTCATATTGTTCGGCACCTAGGGTGTGTTTAGTTCACACCAAACTTCCCCCCAACTCCCAACTTTCCATCACATCACATCACATCCAAAACTTTCCTACACACATAAACTCCCAACTTTTTTTCCAAACTACCAACTTTCCCCAAACTTCTCCCCAATTTCAGAAACTAAACACAGCCTAGTAAGGCCGTGTTTAGTTTCCCCCCTATTCCCAACTTTCCATCACATCATATCACATCAAAAACTTTCTTACACACGTAAACTTCCAACTTTTTTTCTAAACTCCCAACTTTCTTCAAACTTTCAACTTTTTTCAGGAACTAAACACACCCTAAAAGGAATGATGAAAATTGAAACAGCAGTTTTTCCTGTCATGATTTTGTTTTTCTAATCAGGTTTAATGCATGTCACATAGGCTGGATAATATGTTCACACAATGAAGCATGACTTTCAGTGCTACCAAAACTTTCATGGATCTATTACATCTCTGACAGACTGGATCATTTAAAAGGACAGTAGGAAATTATATTGTCCAAGAGGGCTATGATGATAAGACAAGTAATATGTGAATAGGGAAACAAAAGGCCCAGATTAAATTAATTCATATCAAGAGTTAGCTTTTGCTATGTCATAAATAGGCATAATTGATACTACATCCGTCCCAAAATACTTGTCGCTTTGAGTTTTTATTTGTAACGTTTGATCATTCGTCTTATTCAAAAAATTATGGAATTATTATTTATTTTTTTAACTTGTTTATTATCAAAAGTATTTAAGTATGACTTATCTTTTTTTATATTTACACTAATTTTTCAAATAAGACGAATGGTCAAAAGTTGCAAGCAGAAAGTCAAAGCGACATCTATTATAGGACGGAGTAGTACTACCTATGTCCCAAAATAAGCTCATTTTTCTATCATCCCACACATACCAATACAAACACTAAGAACTAGTATATCCCTACTTTATTCAATCCCAATGCAATTATTTCTCGCTTTATCTACTTCCTATACAATTATTTTTCACTTTCGCAAACTCTGATGCAATGTTTGCTTAAAAATGAACTTATTTTGGGACACAAATGGGATGAGTCAAATATGGGACTGAGGGAGTAACTTCCTGCCTAAACCAACAGAGCGTTTGTAATTACACTTAAGAATTTACTGCAGGTATAGAAATTAGAATTAAAAAACGCAGTTGTTCGGAATTCATAGGAAACATGATTACCTGGAAATCTTCTTCTATTCTCAGGCCCAGCACTGCTATACCAGTACACATTGTCAGAATATGCAACACACTAGCTCCATAAGCATGCCCTCGTGTTAGTAAATTCAAGCACAAGATCTTAATGTGAGGGAGTTGGGTAATGCCTTCCATTAAAGGCCTAACGCCATGCTTGTCGCCTTGCTCCTATGAATTTGTAGGAAGTTAACAGAGGTAATCTCAGACAAAATGCAAAACTAACTGGGAAAGAGCAAAGAAATGTTTGACAGAAGGCCATACAGTTGAAGAATCAGTAATTTGCTTGCAGACAAGTAACGATCTAGTAATTTGCTGCAGAGTCAACATTTTCAGTTTGGAACTTTGGATGCTGCTTTTCGGCCAGATGTAATAGAAATTAATATAATCTGAATTCAATTGTAGTGCAAGTGAATTAGATGTATCTGCAGGCTTATGTAATCATGTTCAACAACCACATAATGGTGAAACAACTGATAATCAATGACGATCTCTTTGGTAACGACAACTCAGAAACTGCAGCATATCGAGAAATGCAAGCATGGATGACTCGCAATTATGCTAGCTCAGTAAACATGAATGCAGCAATTGATCCTTTGTACAGAAACAAGTATCACTTGAAAATGTGCTGATAAAATTATTTTCCTAAGGTCAAGTATACATTTGAAGTTCAGTTCAAGATTGTTCTCCTATTCTGCAACTTTCTAACTAGTATTCAAGATATTCAACTCTCAACAATGCAAAAGATAGGCCAACAAAAAACTGCAGCTGAATCGAGCATTGAGTGTTGAGCCTAAACACTCATGAGCTTAGATGATCTAAACTTAACAATTGCAAGTTTGCAATAGAAAATTGCATATTCTGAAGGATAATCATCTGATAATCCACATTGCAGTTCGAGCAATACACAATTGATTACTTGACTGAAACAGAGGAAGAAGAGGCACTCACTAGTTCAATTTTGTCGAAACATGATTTCGGCAATAATAAAAGGGGGTAGCGTACGAGACCTAAAAGTGGATGGATGCGGAGACAAAGGATTTAGACAGGTTCAGGCCCTCTCAATGAGAGGCAATACCCTACTCCTGTTTGGGGATTTGAATCCGCCGAGTGTGTATTGATCTGACGATCAGGTTGTCTCATATGCCCCCTAGAGGGCCTCCTACCCACCTTATATAGGATGGGGGGCAGGATTACAAGATAGAAACCTTAACCAATACGGTATCGGTTTCCTAAATCTACTTTACAATATTATCAAACCAGGACTTTAGGCCGTTCCGTAATATACAAGGAAACGTAACACCCAAGTCATGATCTGTTACATATTACAAAAATATAAGTTATCCCCTATAACTAGTCGGATAACCATGCCGTGTGGGTATGGGGTACCCATAATCTCCACAGTAGCCCCTGAGACCTTCACAGTCGAAAAGATAACCTTCTCTCGAACTAGATTACTCCAAAGCCGAGTGCTTCAATCATCTTCGCCATGGTCTCCCGAGTACTTTTACCAAATCTGAAGACTGTGGAGGGCTGAAAAATATAGTCAGGTGCACCGACTAGATGCACCTAATAGGTGTAGCCCCCGACAAT